GATTTGATTGCGAGATTGCAAATTTCCAACATATAAATCAATGGATTTTTATAACACAGGATTTGTAAAAGAGAATCAATTTACATATGCACGGTTAAAACAAGAAATGTCAACATATATACAAACGCGTACCAGACCGACTTCGTCGTTTCCTCTTGATCAAGAAAACTCGACCTCTACAAAAATCCCAGAAAGACGAGATTTGTTGCTCAATTCATCAGTTCCTTTTCTGAATTTTACAAAATTCCCAATTCATTTCGAAACCCCCAAGTCAATTCTGAATTATTTCTAACTCTTAAAAGGAAGATTTTTAATGGATGCATCGTCTTCCTCCGAGGAAAGCTTGAAGCTTGAACTGGATGATCTGCAGAAACAGCTGAACAAAAAGCTGAGATTCGAGACATCTGTTCGGTCTATTCATTCTCTTCTTCGTGATCGTTACCCTTCTTCCTCTCCTTCTCTCCAAAAACAGGTTGGTTTTTATTGTTTGATTTTTCGGACCAATTGATATTAAGAATTTAAGATAGCTCAGAAATTTTAGGGCTATTCTGGTCATGGTGAATTGTTGCTGTTGTCTCGAATGTTTGATTGATGTGTACTCATTGCTTATGTTTGATGGTGATTATGGAGAAAGTTCATGTTCATGTTCATGTCAAGGATCTTCAATTGTACAATTGTAATTTGTCGTTTTGTTCAATTTCTTCGATTATAATCGAATGTGTCTGATGGACATTGCAGTTCTATATAGTTGTGTCTCGTGTCGCAACGGTTCTTAAGACGAGATATACAGCTACTGGGTTTTGGGTTGCGGGACTAAGCCTTTTCGAAGAGGCTGAGCGACTTGTGTCTGATGCTTCTGAGAAGAAGCACTTGAAATCTTGCATTGCTCAAGCCAAGGAGCAGCTAAGTGAAGTAGATAATGTGCCGACCGAGAGCTCGCAAGGTTTGTGAACATTATTTTGGGTTTATGCCATGGCTTTAACTAAAGAAAGCATCTGGGATGATTTTGTTTTTCTCTTGTGAATTTGTTCCAGGTTATCTTTTTGAAGGACATCTAACGGTTGATAGGGAGCCGCCACAGCCTCAGTGGCTAGTGCAGCAGAATCTCATGTCTGCTTTCGCTTCAATCGTTGCTGGTGAATCCTCTAACGGTCCTTCTGAAAACACTCTTGGGGACACGGCCAACTTGATGCAAGAGCTCATCAATGGTCTTGACAGTATCATCCCAGAGGTAGTGTTTAGATCTTTTGGCATTGCCATCCTCTTTTCTTCCCTGCTAGTTTTAGATGATGTAGTTGTTGTATATGATCACACATTACTGATATAAACGAGATTCTTCAGCTATAAGATCAGATGAAAGTAATTTTTGTTCCGCCTTTTACCTTTTACCGTATGTTGTTGTTTTGCAAATTGGGTTTCTCCTCTTGGTTCCAATATGGCTAGCGATCTGGTTTCCTCTTCTGTATAATGTTGGTAGCGTCTTTTTTCTTAGCCTCGTGGCTGAAGATTTGATATGTATGATGTGTTCTATGCAGATACTAGAAGATGGTGGACCACCAAGAGTTCCACCGGCAAGTAAAGAAGTTGTCGAGAAACTTCCAGTGATAGTTTTCAGTGAGGAATTGCTTAAAAAGCTAGGAGCAGAGGCAGAATGTTGCATCTGCAAAGAGAATCTGGTGATCGGTGACAAAATGCAGGAGTTGCCATGCAAGCACACGTTTCACCCTCCTTGCCTAAAGCCTTGGCTGGTAAATACAAAAACTCAATCTGTGTCCATATCTATGAAGAAAGTAGCATTCTTCAATAGCTTATGAGTAAGTAAGAACAAAAAGCTTAAGATCAAATTTTTGTGGCAGGACGAGCATAACTCTTGCCCTATATGCCGCTATGAATTACCAACAGACGATCAGAAATACGAGAGCTG